ACACACACACACACACACACAAACATGCACACACATGCAGGCTTACAGTCACATGCATAATATAAATGAACAATAATATAAAAAATGATAATGTTAAGCTAGATACGTACTCAGTATTCTGACTGTAACTCAATGTTATTCTGATGCATGCTCTAAGGTCATATGAAATGTGTTCCATTTGGACAAAATTAGTTGATTCTTGCTTTCAGCAGAGCTGAAATATTGTGCTGAAAGCAGCATTTGAATGAGAGGGTAAAAATTGTCAGATTTATGGTGGTAGGCATTAGTGGTGTAGAGTGTAGACCTTTCCTCTCCTTTGTGAAGTTCCTGATTTCAGCGGATACTTCTAATGTTCCTTTTCCATAGATTTGTTACAATGATAAGAGCAAAATGTCAAAGTTAAACATAATATGATCTATAATGGTATATTGTTATTGTTTATGTTTTCTGTTCCTATTTTCGACATCTATGCTAGGTTGGGTTTTTTGTCCAGCTAAAAATTTTTTGAAAATATAACTTTGAAGTGATATGGCAGTTTTGCAATAACATGTCATTGCTCTCTGCATGTACTTTTTGAAGTTGTACTGATTCCTTCTACGTACCCAGCCCTTCAAAATGTTACACACTTCCCCTTATTCAATATTGAGGTATATATTTCTGTTATCTTCTATGTATGTTTTCAATATATTTTGTGCAGCTCAGCAGAGATGTCAAGGTCCAAAGAAGCTATTCAAGCACTACGCAAGGATCAGGAAGATAAACGTATGTATTTGAACTTTTCTTTTTCTTTGCTTGAACAATGTTCTTTTGGCAACAGTTCAGTTCCTTTTGATTTGTATGAGTGACAGGGATTAGTACATTAGTCTTAGTGCTGGAGTCTACAAAATTATTGAGTGGGAATCGTTTACATTTTTTAGATGTCTCCTTTTTTTAAAAGTCCAAAATGAAAGAAACATTTTGTTTGCGTTAAAAAAAAATTAATCTGTGGTATTGGTTTCATGTGCTCAAGAAATATTATTTTGTTGAATTTCAAATTCTAAACATTCACAAGAAGCAAGAAAAAATAACAACGAAACGTAAATTGTACAATTGTTGAAAAAAATGAAACAGTCTTTTCCTCTCTCATGAAAATGTTGCTCTCTTGACTTAATATATTTGAACAGCTTGCCAGTGATATATATATATGTGTCATGACGCAGTGGAATCAGGTGCTCGTCAATTTTTGGGCATATGGAGTTATTGGTGCAATCTGAAAGCTTGTTCATTTGCCTTGCTCTTGATGAAAGAGTATCCGTCTATCTTGAGTAGAAGTCAAGATATTTGTGATTGAAGGAGGTGGGGGTCACCTGGAGGGAGAAAACGGTCGTCAAAGTTTGGGAACTTCATAGCTTAAGGGTCCTTGAAAACTAAAAATTACATATTTTGTGCCTTTAAACAAGGTTTTTCAGTAAAATTTATATGAAAATATATTTTCGTATGAACGTAAAAGATGTTTAGCCAAAAAATAAAATTTCGATAAAAATTGCCAAAACTGGTGGAAAAATGCCTTTTTATTCTATTTCATTATCTTGACAAGGGCCTGTTTTCACCACAATGCCTCACACATATATCTTTAAGCTTTCGAAAAAATTGCTTATAACTGGTTTAATCATGTATTTCTGCATGTGGCAGGCTATTCCATGTACTCCACCAAAGGGCCACGGTACCACTCTCACTCAAAGCCAAGAGCCCAGTCAGCTGGTTCTGTGCGACCTCCTGTGTTCTTGTCCACTCTTCCCTATGAGGTTTGTCTTAGATTGGTTTAGTTTACTTTGAGCAATTATGGCTTTGGTAATCTAGTGGTTAGGCTGGTGTACTCATAGTTGTTAGGGTGCGGGTCTGAATCCTGACCAGGCTTGACATTTCATCCTTGGAAAAGACTCTTTACACACACACACATGCATGCACGCTCGCATGCACGCACGCATGCACACATGACCCACGCATGCATGCACGCACGGTCACGCACGCACGCACGCACGCACACACACACACACACACACACACACACACATACACACACACACACACACACACACACACACACACACACACACACACACACACACACACACACACACAAACATACACAAAATGTTCTTTTTTATGGTGGGACCTTGGGGGGGAGGGGGGGGGTCTGAGATGTTTTTCCTTAGCTTTGTCAATTTGATAATTATGCTATTCATAGTGAGACACATCGTTTGAATGAGCCTGCTTTCCCTGATAGACCCTCTTTTTCTTATTATTTTAGAGTTGCATATCTTTATCTCTGTGTACCTCTTATCAGCTTAAGTAAACATGATGTAATGATCAGCTCTCAATTTGTTTTTGAGCTGTTCATGAATGTGTACATTTTCTCACAGCCATGTGTTTTGTTGGAGGTTATCATTAGTTCCTGACATGTTGTTCGGGAAAGTTACTGCGCTCAGTTTTGAAGAGTTTTAGCGGAGCGATGAGGAGATCATGAAAGGCTGACATTTTGTTTAACTCATTCAGTGCCACAGACAAGAATACTCGCGTAACCTGGGCCCCGCCTACATACTATAATGACGAGTATTCTCATATTCTGCCTTGCTATCTTTATTGAAAGAATTACTCTTATCTAATCCATACCAAGTTATTTGAACTAATCATGATGCATTAAAATGGGAAAGGTCAAGGAGACATTTTTTCTGCTCAAACAGCCATTGAGCTTGCAACTTTTGATTGATTTTCCTGGGTAGACCTAATTTCATGTTGCCATATATAACGAAACTGCCCAGTATGTGAGTGGAGTTCAGTGCTGGGGCGCTCAGCATTGAATGAGTTAAATAAAATAAATCTTTTGCATTGCCCAATTGGTATTCTTATTATTTTTCCAAATGGACCAGTATAATTTGTACGAGGTCTGCAGCTTGTTAGAGCATTTACAACCGGCCGTCAACATTTCAGTAAACATCTTTATTATTAAAATGACACGAGACCATTGTGAAAGAGGTACTTGAAGGAAAGATGTGGGGCAGGAGAGCTAGAGGAAGACAAAGAATAAGATGGATGGATAACATAAGAACATGGACTGGCCTGGATATGGCAGAATGTGCAACGGCAGCTTGCAACCTTGAAAGATGGAGGGTCATTATACGCCAGCCTCTGAGTCAGAGATGACACCTCCAGGTATCCAGGTATCCCTTTATTTCCACTTTGTTCTTTCAGGATGATGAAGACACTGAAGAATTTCAGGAGTGTTTGGACATGAAAACAAAAATGGCTGCTCTTGGTGTAGACATTGATCCAAAAGTTTTAGAGAGGTCAGTATCTCAGATAAAAATATACGCAGACTTTGTTTTCGTTGAATCGCAGTACATGCTGGGCTCAACTGGGCTGCTTTAACCCTTCCAGCCCTAGCCATTTTTGTGCACTCCCTAACCCCAGTCCCAGCCATTACCGCAGTATTTAAAAAAACGAAGCATACATTCTAAAAAGTGATGTAGTATCTTTGTAATGAGGTTTAGATAATAACATGTAACAGTCTTTAAAGCTAAATGAACAGATATGTGAATCAAATTTTATTTAGGTTCGGAAATTTTGAAAAATGCGCAAATTCTGTACCCCCCGAGACTTAGAATATATGCTGTTGGATGGTGGAAGGAGGTACAAGCACTGCTGAAATATACGTGCATGGGGCTGGAAGGGTTAATAGTGACCACACTTTGGCTATCTGTTTTTGATCAGTGCTACACGTCAGTTTATTATCGAACTTCCTCTTCTGAGCTCACAAACGTATGACCTGGAAATAGTGACCAGACGTGGGCAGGAACTGCTGACTATCATGTTATGTCAGTAACAAGTGTGATTTATAATTATTTACATTATATAGTGAATAATTATAATTTATTCTTAGTATTCATCATGCGTTTAGTCAAATTTGTGGGAAATTTGTTACATTATAAAAAGTAATAGTATTATAAAAATCAGCCTAAAATTTTATTTTCTCATTTCAATGTCAATCATTATTAATTTGACTTGAGTGTTTTTAGGAAAAAAAATACTAGAGCATGTGATTGTTTTCTCAACATTTTGACATTTTTGTTTAGTTGGTGAATAGGAGTGCTTAATTCTCAGTGACCTACATGTACTTTGTGCCTCTCTTTGACCCCCATCTCTGTCTTGATGTTTGTGTATTTTCAAGTATGTCGTCTAGGAATATACGAAATTAGTTTAACACTTTGCCGTCACATCACGCCAATCGGTGATGTTTACCACCCAGCTTCTTTGGATTTTCCCCGAAATGCCTTTGCCTTTGGCAAGCGTTTTTATTATATGATCCTTGTGATGGAAAAGTGTTGAATACTTTGATTTAATTCTTTCTCTGTCCTTTTCTCAAGGGCCCTGTTTGCTCCCAGTGGAAAGTCACTGCATTTCAACGTGCCAGGAGAGCTTCCTCAGGACCCAAGTGATGGGTGGGTATAGTTTCTCTAGATGTAGACACAACAAAGAGTGAAATGTCCTTTCTTGTATTAAAGGCCTATCATTTGGTTGCTTGCTACCGTTCAAATCTTTAAAGCATTTCTTATGTGATCAAGTAATGCTCATTTTAGGTGCAGTAGCGAGAAAAGCACATTTAGGAAGCGCTCAGCACCTTCTATGACTAATTAATAACACATTTCTGTGTGGATTTGAGAAAAAACGTTGATCAAAGGCACAAAAAAATATAAATTTGCAGTTTCCATGGAATCAAGAGCTTTGGTTATCCTGGACAGGCTTGCCTATAGTTCCTAATCTTTTTTAAAACGAAGCAAACCTTCGATTGTTTACTCTCGTCATGCTTTGAGATTGAAAAATGAACTTATTTTGTGGGGGGGTTGGCGGGTGCTCTGGTGTGATTTTCTTCTTCTTTCCTATCAAACGTCTATCATCTCTATCTCCCCTTCTTCTTTTTTGTGTTTGTTACTCTCTTTGTAACACTTTTAATCTTCGGCACTTATATGACCGTACTGTGTTGCAAGTGCCATAAAACTCTTACAAAAAAAACAACAAATTTTTGGTAGACAAATTTTCTTTTGGTCTGTCAAGTAAGTAAGAATGTTATCTCTGTTGTTGTTGAAGGTTGCTGACCCACTACAAGTACTGGTTGTCAGAGGACTACAAACGGGTTCAGCAGATGAACAGACGCCTTGGTAAGATATTTTCTTTTTATATGTCATTCTGTTATAAAATTCTATCTGTTGGATTATAAATACAGCGGTATCTAGTAACTTAATTTAGTTAATTTTGCAGAGAAAAAGTCTTGTCATTGGCGTCTGTATTTGCACCCACTGATTTTACGCAAGGTAGTCCAGTATCTAAGAGGTTACAACTTTTTTAAATTGGAGGCAGTGCTGATAAGCCAACTTCTTTCATGTGGGCCTTTTGTTTTTGTTGCTTCACTTATTTTTTCTAGTATCTCTTAATCTGTTTTGTCAATGTATTTCAGAAACTCCGCTCTTGAGAACCAATACGTGTGTTCTTTGAATGTTTAAGATGTTGTAGTGCTTGAGAATCAAGTTTTTTTGTAGTCAATAATTTCATTTTGCACTTTTGTCTGTTTCGATTTGCTATCTTGTCATCTTTGACAGCTGCAAACGCTAAGCTTGTCTACCACCACATACAATTAGCAGTCCTGATTGCATGCCTTATGGCAAGTGTGCCCTGCCTTTTGAATTCATTTGACTGAGTCGGAGCCAGCCAGATTTTTCTCCAGTAAGGTGCAAAAGCTACCATTTTGACACAATTCGACGGAATCTAGGTACTCTGTGCCAGTCTTTGTTTAAGACATTTTTGTATCTGCAATAAAAATTTTGTTTTTTTCTTTGCTCTGCAGCCCGAGATGATCACATTAGGTATCTACAGAAACTTGCAGAGGAAAAGAAGAAGAAACGATTAGCAGCAAAAGGAAAGAAGGGAGGCAAGAAAAGCAAGAAAAACCAGAACAGATGTGAAACCCCGTCCAAAAATGCAATGTGAATATATATATCTATGCATTTCATTCCTATATTGTCAATAAATCACACATGTTTTCATGCCAAAGGTACATATGGGCCATCTGTTTTTTCTCCATTTTTGCTTGATATCATTTGCTCAATAGTACCAACCTGTGTACTTTTTTATGTCTTTCTTAAGATGTGAAAATGTTGCTCATTTAAAAAAGTTTGTAATCACTTTTGTGAAAGGAAAAGCTTTTTGCTTGCTGTTTATTGGCAATAAGGAGAAAACCCACAAACAAACAAACTCAAGTCTTAAGATAAGAATGAAATCATCAGGTTCAAGGAAGTCTCAAGAAAACTTAAAATTGGAAACTGATGTGTTTTCTTCCACAATTTCTGTACAATGGCAGCAAAGTCAATGTTTCAGAAACGATCAAAGATCAACATTGATGATACTGCCCAGGTTTCAGAAGTACTGTACCATTGTTGTTACTGCTTGCTCATATTTATACCTTTTTATAGTTGTGTATTGTATTTGATTTGATGAGCGTTTTTTCACTTTAGAAATTAATTAAGTGGTGCAGTATGAAGATGATTTGAATGCAAATTTGAATTATTTATATAGAAAAGTATGTTTTCTATCACCCGATATTGTTTTCTAGCATTTCTGACTTTCATGCTTGCTGTTAAGTATAAAAACTGTTCATTTAAGTGCTACGCAGACAGTGCATTTTATGAAAAAAAAAGAACCCATATCTCCAAGTGGAAGGCTGGAGTGCACCACTGGTAAGCCTTGCTTCTTTTCTCTCGGGCTGTTGTCTTGCTATTCCCAGCACTAAAGAGAAAAAGGGCAGCATTTGTGGTGAGGTGTTAATTCTCTTTTCTCAAACTAAAAAACCCCCCTCATATTCATGGTATTCATGGTGTTTGAGTCTTTTTTCTTTTATTCAACAATTTATCTTAGGGCTAACCAAACTCTAAATATGGACCATCAAAATTGTGTTGCCAGGTAATATGATGTCTTGGATATAAAAAAAAGTTGAAAACTGTAGTTCAGGTGTATTGTCATCATTATAATGTAACAAAAATTAACTGCTTTAATCATGGGTGGTGTTGTAATCATGATATCAGCTGCTCATTATATTGTCAGAGACCCTGTTTTGCATTTTCGGGCTATTATTATATATTAATTGCACTTGATAAAAAGTTATACTATTTGCACACAGTTGCCCCATGTTGCCACTTTTTAAAATGACTTCTTTTGACACAAATAGGACTAATTAGGACATTGCCCCATCATACTAGATGTGAATCAGCAAAGCAAAAATGCTAACATCTATATTTGAATATGTGGGAACAATGTTTTGCTGGTACATGTGGTACCATGTTGCAACTTACTGTAAATGACTTCTTTTGGCACAAATGTGATTAATTAGACCAGTTCCCCATCATACTAGGACTTAAATGTGAATCAGTAAAGGACAAACACTAACATCTGTTTTTGAATAAAATTTGTGAAAAGTGTGTTGCTGGTACATGCAGTATGGGGCAGCGGTAGGCAGACAGAACACAAAACAGATGATGTTTGACAGAGGGTTGCGATACAAAAACTGCTAACCTAATATGTTGAACTGCTGATCCCTCTTATTGGGGGTAACCTATGCTGTTCAAAAACACTAACGTATGCAATTATCTTTTATCTTTTTCAATATTGTGTAAAAATATTATATGGTTGTAAATTTCGAAGGAGATATAAATGAATTTAAAAGAAGCATGAAAACTTCTTCAGAAGTTTCACTAAGGAGAAAAAAAAGACTCCTAAGAATTTTGTGCGTTAGATTATAATAGTTCATGTAATAGGATTGGTCAGAAGTGCAGTTGACAGTATGGGTACTTTTAAAATCTAATATAAAAGTATAAAAGCTTCCATTATTTTTGCACAGCATGTGTTGTGTGAGGGAGTACATTTTTTAGTCTCAACATGGACTTAAAGTTATTTTTGAATGCGATTGAATTTTAAAACTCTGAGTAAACTCTCTTTTGATAAGATTGATGATAAGAAGAAATCAGATGAACTTTGAATATATGCGTGTAGATATACTGTATATTCATCTCTATACTGTAGTTCTGATTTCGATTGCCCTATATTTATAGTTCTATGTTGTAAGCTGTATAATATTCGGTTTAAACAAAATTTTGTCATTATGTAGGCTGAGATTTATGAGATGAATGAAAAAAATGGTTAACTTTGTTTCTGCCATGTTATCAGAATGTTCCAAAAGACACTTCATTTTTGGACTTTTTTCAAATCTAAGACATGTATGTTCATTAATGATTTAGATTCCTCTACACCCCCTTTGAAATAATTTGGATCATCTGAAAACCCAGCTGTGATCCCTGTACCCTGCAGGTTCTTCACTTTGCATACAAGAGATGGAGTAAGTAAGATTCCAATTAAAAGAAGATCAATAATATATTATGTATTTTGTTTCAAGTTTCTCAGCATTTCTCCTAAGGCCCTGCTCACATCATTAGGAAAAGTTTCATCCATCACATCTCTGCAAAGTATAGTGTCACATGGTGATGAAGAGAGACGAATGGGTTAAAATTGCTTGTTTGTATACTTGCACCGTTCGATGAGTGGAATTTTCCTTTCCTTGTGTGTGCACAAAGCTTTAGATGAAGCATCCGACATATAGTACAGGTTGACCTTGACATGCAGGTTCAAAGCGGCCCACACTCAAAGTAATGTAAATTTGTGTTTATCAGGACGCAGATTATTTACAGTCATGATAAGTGCATAATATTTCAAAATTTGTGTGTAAGTCAAAGAGGTTATAAATACATGTAGTACATGACTAATGGGTTGATTTAAAGGGGAGTTACTTAATTTTGAATTAGTATTCGCTTTTCTTACAAAATGATATTATGGGTTTATCCTTTGTACTTATTTTTCTTCCATTTGAATTTATAACCATATTGGTATTCTTGATCTCACTTTCTTCCAATTATATATTTGTATTATGTTGAATGAGGCCTAAATGCTGTATTGTACTTATATCGTGGGTCATTTTGATTGGGGATGATATATAGGTACTTGGCCATCAGAATCTGCCTATTCATTGGTGCCAGTCCCCTTGATGGTTTACTTAATTACCATACTGTTTCTGTTCTATGTGATGGTCTGCCACCAGACTAGCCTGACAACTGTTAGGGATTGGGGTTAGGGTTACACGGGGTGCTCATTGTGGATGCGGTCGGGTTGGGTCGGGGGCAATCGCCCCACTCGTCCCCTGAAAACAAACGCGTTTGTTTTTGAGGCGATGAGTCGGGTGCGATCGGCTTGTGCCACGATACCCGCTCTGCGGCCTCAATCTGGTTGGCACCCTGCCATGAACAGACCCCCCAATGGGCACCCCGTATTAGAGTTAAGGTTGTGGTTATTGTTAATTGTTAATGTTAGGGTCCTTATTGCTGATTTTTATCCAGCTGGCACAACACAAATTGACTGTAGTCAATCAAGCAAGACTCACAGTAGATTGGAAAATTGCCGTAGACCGTCAAGTGGAGTGATATCACCTATTCTTTGTTCAGTAGGCCGACAAACTTTCTTCAGATGAAACAAATTTTTTTCACTGTCCTATGTTGACCCTAGGACCCTGCTCTAACCCTGTCGTATGTTGACCCAGGGTCACTTATAACATCCATGATGTAATCTGTCTCAATTATTCCAGGTGTTTGGAAGACTCCGGTGGGTTCTTTATCAATCACATATAATGCTACTTGGCGTGTGTATAGTGTGCCATCTGCTTTCTGCTTTCATGACAAAGGTTCCCATGATTTTTTGTTGAGCTTTGTTGATTTTGTTGTTGATTAACCTCATGGTTATGCAATATGCATGCGTTTAATTTTACTTCTGCTGTTACAGTATATTATTTTCCATGATTTGTGAGTAGATTGCTGGACAAACCTTTTCGTTTACTTTGATGAGGGATTGATGACTGTAAATAGAATTGGTCGCTTTTAAGCACAAGGGGGCTATAACGAAAAATGCTGTTTTGAGAAAATCGAAGGTAAAGTTTTTTGCCCCTTGTTCAGTTTCTGTAAAAGGCAATGAGAGTTTTCTCCATAACCAAACAAATATACACGTACACACAGATGAAACCAAACTTCTCCTATGGGCAAGGCAATGCCCACTTTTGGTGTAGGTCAAGATGTCTGGAAACCCCCGAAATCTGGGTTAGCCCGCTTGCTCTTCAAAGCGTCTAATTTTAAGTATGTCGTGTTCTCTATCCAGTAGTACATTTCTTATTGCGGATATATACATGGGTGCATTCTTTCAAAGACTGTGTTTTTTCAAGTGGTTCAAATTGTGCTGACTGACTGATTATTATATATGCATTTGTATACTGCTGATGTTTTCTTTTTGTATGGGATGTTTTTTTAAATGATACTGGAACAGTGTCTCAAGGGTTGACCTTTTTACAAATATGTAACTTGTTGCTTTTAGTTTTTAGAAACCAATAAATATGTTTCACTCTGGAGGTGAACGATAATATATTGTGTTCATCGTTGTCAGTTGAGTTTTGTGTGTTTTGACAACTTACTGACCCCGCTCAAACTCAAAAGTTGTGCACTATATTCAGATGTATCTAAGTACCGGAAGAATCGAGTTGAATAGGAAAACAGTTTAATCTATATAGGCCTACGCATTTGTCAAATTTGAACTTTGATATGATTCAACAAGATATAATATATGTTGCATGAGCTTTACCACAGAAGCTTTTCATGTTTGTTCGTTTGAGGAAAGAGAAACACGTCGACACAATACTGGTCATTTAGTGAAGGGAAAAAGGGAGACAGACAGACAGAAACAACAGAGGGAAAGTAAAGAAGTAGGACCTACCAGTTGCGCTCTCCAACCACCCGCACTGTAGAAGCGAGGAGTATTGGTTTGAGTTTCGTATTGTGCTACAGTATGCGCTTTGCCTGCCCCAAATAATAATTACCTTTTAAATATAGAGGAAAAGATACAGGGTGTCTGAAGAAAATTTGGAATCATTTTAAGGGCAATATCTCAGCCAGAAAAAAGACGACTGAAAAATCGCCAAAAAAGCTTACGCGGGCATACTATGCTGGACACATAATGAGACACGATGGACTACTGAAAACTTTGATGACTGGTAGAATGGGAAAAGCGTCTGATTTTGGAATGTCCAGATGAGTGGAGGATGCCAAAATCGGTGCGACGTATAATCGTGCACCTATGCAGACAAACCACGGCCTGGTCAGTCATTGCTGTTCTGCAAGTAACGAAGACTAAGGCGGAAATCGCATACGTGCACACTGGCACTATTCTGCTACAAAGCCTCAAGATAAGTGCAAGGATATATGAGTGCATGGTAAAAGATGAGCTTGCTGTAGGTCAATCTTAATCTTCCATCAACACCACCCCTACAACACCACCAAATTTGGATAATAGAAATCGAAGCAAAGAAACAGACCAATTAGTTTATTACCAAGTCGCAAAAAAGGTTCAAACACTGAAATCAAACCGCTAAACAAAATAATGAAGGTGATACTTTAGCATTCATATTATGTTGTATTGTCACGTCAAAAGAATTCGCAGTTTTGTCTTGTTTGTTTTTTGGTCTTCGTTTTTTCATTTTTTTTTCAAGTCAACGATTCGAGAGAAAGGAGAATACACTTCGTACCAAAATATGCATTATATACACATGTATTAAGAAGAAACACACGATATACATATTTTATACATCTATGTATTAGTATATATAATATGAAATGTCTGTTATATAATACTATTTTGTATCTTATATAAAATATGTGCGTTTATGCATTATAATATATAGTCTGTTATGTGTATACGATGTAGTATTCATCACTGAATTCACCAGGATTTCACCAAAAAGAGTGGAGCCCTTCTTAAGTTGTCCTCCGCGAAAATCTCAAGCCAATCTTTCTCTACTATGCGGCGCCTTCATGTCCACTTGAGGTCCGACTGGGATGATTCCTGCAGGGTTGATTTCTTTGTCATTTTCCTGTTGAGTGTTTATGAACAGTCTGAGCTATGAATGAAGCTTGGAACATTAATCAAAGACCACGTCATTTAAGAATCAACTGTTGTAAATGCTGTAACATGTCAAAATTTGACATTAACAAAGCCCCTCGAATGCAAAATAAGAACATGGGAAAAGCAGTATCCCTGAGAAAGCTGTCAACAGGACCACGCCGAAAGTTCCGTGATACCATTATCAGACGATGGCACTTACGTGACCTATTTGTGTTGCAAGCGCCGTAAAACTCTTACTAAAGCTAAAGCTAAACTATTATCAGAAAAATGTTTTGTACCATTACCATCAACTTTTTATAACTCACTTTTCTCCTACTTTTCTTGCACAATGTCTTTTATGCTACTCTATATGGTAACTACAATTCAAATTTAGCTCACCATGAGCTCCAACATAACTGCAGAAAAGGGAACTTACGTAATAGGTTTTCATGATGTGTTCTTGGTCCACAGTCTCAGCCACACCGGGAAGCTGGAAAATGTCTCTTGTGTAGGCCCAGATGTTGGGGTAGTCCACGATTCTCTTCTTGTTGGTCTATAAGTGGAGGGTGATTGTATAAAACAGGTCTTACTCGTTTGTTTTATAATGATAATCGCCGGGACATGTAGCAGTTGCCGAGAGAGAGAGAGAGAGAGAGAGAGAGAG